AAAAAAAAAAAAAAAAGATATAATGTCTAGATATGGACTTCCCAATAGTATAGGGTCAGACAACAGGCCAGCCTTCACTTCTCAAATAGTAGCTAGTCTGGCTAAGGCCATGGAAACAAACTGGAAGCTACACTGTGCTTACCGGCTTCAGAGTTCAGGACAGGCAGAGAGGATAAATTGGACCTTGAAAAGAACCCTGACAAAATTAATTTTAGAGACTGGCAGTAATTGGGTGTCTCTCCTCCCCTTTGCTTTGTATAGGGTTAGAAATTCCCCCTATGTCATAGGCAAGACCCCATTTGAGATTATGTATGGAAAATCTCCACCCCTATTTCCCAGCTTACTGAGTCAAGCTGTAAATGACAAACATGATAGTAATTTTGCTCTTTCTTTACAATGTTATCAAAAATATCAGCAAGAAGACTGGAAGAAGATCATCGCCCTGTACAACAGTGGGCCCACATCTGAATCGCACGCATTTTGACCTGGCAACTGGGTGTATGTAAAACGCCACCAGCACGAGACCCTCAAACCATGGTGGAAAGGACTCTACACTGCTGTTCTGACAATACCCACTACACTCAAAGTAGACAGCATCGCGTCGTGTCAGCACCACTAGACCCACGCCTGCCTAGCTGATCTATTTGCTGCCAAAGACTACACCCCAGAGTGGAAACTCCAAAGAGACCCTGAAAATCCATTGAAGCTCAAACTGCGAAGATGCCAGAATCCTTGATGTCACTGTACGTGCACTATATATTGACTTGCTCTGCCTTATTAGCTACTCCCCTTGCTGCCAGCCCCCATCTCCCTGTTCAGGTAACATGGCAGTTTATTGATACTAGCTCAAGAACCATCCTCAATCAGACCTCAGGAATTTACCCTAAAGGTACTTGGTTCCTAGAACTCCTAGTAGATCTCCATGATCTATTAGGGACTACTCTCTGGTGCCGCCCAGATCTGACTAAGACCCTTTATGTCTGCCCTGGTCACCTTCCTGACAAGTGTGGAGGAGCAAGTTCATACTTCTGTAACTCATGGAGCTGTGTTTCCACCAGACAAATATGGTGGAACCCCCGCAGACAAGAAGACCTAATTCAGATGAAACGGAAGACTATGTGTCCCAGAAAAGGGTGCCCCCAGAAAAATCCCAAATGTGATATAATTAGTATCAGCTTCACTGAAAGAGGGAAACAGATCCAAGGATGGGAAATCGGCAAATGGCGGGGCATGCAGTTGTACTGCTCTTCCGAAACAGATCCAGGTAATATTTTCCTACTAAAAGTCCTATATGCCCCAGTTAATACTAGTCCCCCTACTGCAGTAGGCCCCAACTTGATACTTAAGCTTCCCCTGCAGCCATACCCAAGTTCCCTGGCACCCCAGGTCAAGTAAGGCACCCAAAGTCCAGACCCCACCCCCACCGTGGCTATTACCAAGATACCTGCACCTGTGCAGGAAGACCCCATACCTGCACCTGCTGAAAATCTCGACCCACTCTAGAATTTAGTCACCACTACTTACCAGGTCCTGAACACTTCCAGACCAGACCTCACCAAGTCTTGTTGGTTATGTATGGAAGCCAGACCCCCATATTATGAAGGTATAGCTATAACAAGTCAGCCTACTGTTAGCTCCTCAGCTAGCTTTTGCAGACGGTAATAGCAAGGTCCCTGACTCACCTGCCAAGCCACATCCGGCCAAGGACTCTATGTAGGACATGCACAGCCTCAGTTCCAACATCTGTGCAGCCAGACTCTGTCCTGGAATGGTACCGGGTACTTAATTCCCACCAACAATTCCTGGTGGGAATTAAGGGCTCACACCATGCTTACATGGGATAGGCCTTAACCTAACCTGTGACTTCTGTGTCTTGGTGCAGCTCATCCCCAAGCTAATCTATCACTCAGAAGAAGAGATATACCAGGCCTATGAGCTCCGTTCAACTGCAGGTAAAATTAGTAAAATTAAAAGGGAACCGGTTACTGCAGTAACCCTAGCCATGCTCATGGGACTTGGCATAGCAGGTGCAGGCACAGGGATTTCCACCCTAGTTCTACAAGACAAAAACTATGGAGCCTTACATGCTATGATTGATCTGGATATTGAAAGAATAGAAAAGTCTATCTCACACTTACAGGAGTCCCTAACTTCCCTTTCCAAAGTAGTATTGCAGAACAAAAGAGGTCTGGACTTGTTATTTCTTCAGCAAGGTGGTCTATCCCCTGCATTAGAAGGAGAATGCTGTTTTAGTAGACCACTCAGGTGTTGTGAAAGAATCTATGGCTTTAGTCAGAGAAGGGTTACAGAAAAGAAAACTAGATCAAGAACAGTCACAAAATTGGTTTGAATCATGGTTCAACTGGCCCCCCCTGGTTAACAACCTTGATCTCAACCTTAGCAGGACCCCGATGATACTCTTGCTGTTACTCACCATAGGCCCCTGTGTCATCAACAAGCTCCTAAACTTGGTCAAAGACTGAGTAGGAGCTGTGCAACTACCAGTGCTCAAAAGCCAGTACCAACCACTGTCCCCTTCAGACTTAGAACTAGAACCCATCCAGTCCCAAGATTGGGACTCTTAGACACAAGTCAAGGGGGGAATGGAAGAACAAGACCTATGTCATCTTAAGCTTAAGTTTCAGTTTCTCCGAAGTTAAGTTTCAGGTTCTCAGAAGTCAGGACACAGGAACATGACACCACCTCAGTGGCTCCTGCCCATCAAACACACATGACCTCACGTAGAGGTCACTCCCTTCCCTTCGCCCATAAAAGCAACCCTCCCCCTTAGAACAGGGTCTTCAGTCCAATCTCACTGCACCGAGATACTGGAGGCCCAGGCTTGCGAGCTTGAATAAACTCTCTCTCCTGCTTTTGCATCGGACCCTGGCTCCCTGGTGGTTCTTGGGGACATTGTGATCTGGGCACAACAGTTCTAAGAGAAGGGTCCACAAAAGAACCAGTCAGAAGTTGCATCTCTTGTTATAATCCAACCTCTTATGTCACATAGCACCACTTAAGCTATAATCACAGTCCTACTCAGATTTAATGATGGAGACAGTATGTCTCTTTCGGAGGAGCAGCTACCCTACTACATTGTGAGAATGTTGTTAAGACCACTTTGGAACACACACATTGTCACAGGTGCCCTTCCCACATGATTCCATAGGATCCTCCCTGTAAACGCCTATCATGACACTTATCACATGGTAAGAAACTGCATATGTGTGACTCAGCTCTTCCACTATAGTACTTTCATATGAAATCCTTTCAAAGAATAATGAAATCATTAGAGTAATCTTTATATTCCTGGCACTTAGCAGATGTTCAAAATAAAAAAATCTTTTGAATCAATGAACAGATGAAATTTAGATTTAAAGTCAGAAATATTTTTAAATGTTTCTAAGTATAAAAGTTACTGTATCTAAACCACTTAAGCTGGATTAACTTAATATACTGTCAGCTTTTAGAACTGTTATAATTTTTAAGTTTTATTAATAATATATCCTCCTCACATGTGATTTATTTTTAACTAAGCAGGTTACTTACAAACTCAAATATTATATCTAACAGCTTATAATTTATTAGCAACACAAAATGCTCATCTTAATACAAAATCATAATAATTTGTAGATTGTTTTCCCCTAAAAATTGGTGGGATATTTTATAACACGTACCCTTAAATGGAAATTTATGTAGAAAACCACTGTCGCTAACTATGTCAAATATTTTAAAACCACTCTAAGAATTGAGTGTACTAAGTGCAAACATACAATTTAGAAGTATTTTTACTCATAAATTATATATTTTTGTATCATGTTATTGAATATAATAGCCATTAAGACCTAAATTATCACTGTATAATCAACTTATTTTCTTTTTCTTGTCAGCAAATATAACTAAGATGAAATAAAATTATATAATTTAAAACCTGAGAATTAGTTAAGCTATCTTCTGGCCTGAACAAGGCAGATACTATTCAACCCACTGATGTGGTTATTTTAAGGACAATGTGCCTTGCAGTATACCAACTGCAACCATTTCACTACTATACCAAATATCATTAATCAGTCCTCAATCTTTGGACACTCTATCTTAAATTCTGTTTTTTATCATGTCCCTCACAAAGCATCATCATTAATCATATATCTCTGCAGACAAGGACCAAGGTTTACCAGCAATACTTACCAATTAGTATTTGACCACTCTTCATAGCAGATCCTCCTGGCAGCAGGCCGTGGACCACAAGCCTCTCTCCATCACCCTGCTTTGTTCTTTTCCAGCTCCACTTTGTCTGGTGAATAATTCCAACCAGTACTTCCAGAAGCTTGAGGTGCTCTTTGGCTTTGTTAACAGTTAGCTTTTTGGGGTTTACATAAACAGTCACATCTTTATACCGCTGCTGGACAATGACTCCTGTCTTCTGATTGGACTGGTGCTTTAAAATGGATACTGGCCCATTGTCATTGCTTTTTTTTTTATTGTAGCGCTTAGGTAAAAGTCTTTTACTTTTTAAAATTTTGGTAAACTGCTTGAATTTGGGTTCATGTTTTTTTCTCTCTTTATAATCATCCTCTTCGATGATAATCTCATTTTCACTGAACCTGACATGGTTCACAGTTGGTGTCTCGGGAAGGAGGCTTTCTTCTTCATCCTCACTCAGTTCCAAATAAAATAGCTCTCCATTTTTCTGCACACTGTCCAGCCATTCAGGCTCAAGGTCACTATGAAAGAGAGAAAAAGAGAGTAAAGGTGGGGGCTGGGGAGTAAAGAGGTAGGTGGAAGGTGGGTGAAGTTTCTTTATTTCAAATTTATTGTGAGCATCAACATCATTTTCTAGAATATGCTTTATGTAGAGCCTTGAAGAATGGGAAGTAGGGGAGAGGGAATTGAAAAGACACAGTGATAGAAAAGAAAACCAATATAAAAAGAGATGGTCCCACTCCAGAATCTATGAGTTAAAAAAAAATTAATTTAGCCACCATGTGGTTATGGTTCACTTTAGATAATTTTTTTGGATAATAATTTACATTAGCAGTTGCATATGTAATTATATCCACAGAAACAAACTATTTGGAAATTGTTCGTGAAAACATGCTATTTGCATAGAAATTATTCAGCACAGCTGTCAAGTTAAATGCCTACCACTATTGATAGATTTTGTTTATATAATAAATTTTCAAAAAAGAAAAATTCACCTTACCATAAACTAAAATCTTTGCTGAAAACAACCTACTTAAGATTGCAGCTAATATACTAATGATCACTCCTATAGTCTATAATTTCTGTAAAACTCCTTTTTATGAATAATTATAGTAGGAAAAGTAAAGCACATGTTACATAATTCATCATATGATTGTACATGGGAAAAAAAAATTTAACTGCGAAGTAGGCCAAGGAAAACAAAACCGAAATGACTGCTATTAAAATGATTGAAATAACATTAAAAAAACAAAAATGTTCATCTTATGGTAACAAAATGAATCACAAACTCTACTAGTGTTATGAACAGTTTGCCTTTCAAATTGCTATTTGTTACAGTGGAAAAACTAACATGTGGGGAATCTTTTCAGAAACATGAGCTGTAATGACCTGGCCAGAAAGGGTATAATTTGTACTCTACTCATTCAGTCATGATTGGAGAAATTTTTGTTTTCTGCAGTATTTATTAGCAACTCTAGTCCTTTTAACTTAAAAGTTAAATGTCTTTTTCTAAGTAATTTGAAAATTAGTCCTCAAAATATATTATTGTATTACTCAACTCTGAAACAAATCTCTGCCCTGGTCTGTGGCTGGTCATTAGTATAGAATTTTCAACTACCTATGAGTCACTAGAAAAAAAAAAGCTAAAATGTTGGGGTCCTTATTGGTTCCCAGTGCATGACATCATTTTAGGTAACAAGTACAACTTATCCTACATTGTTAACCATGTGACAGTTGTTTTAAGTATGCCTATCTATACCCAGATAGATCAATATTTAAACAACTCCACAGTTCTACTCTTGAAAGGCGAAATAACTGTGCCCTCACCATAGATGTTTAGAAAACAAAAGCACCCTGGTTTTAATTGTCACAATGTAAATACTATGCCTACACATCAATTACTTATCAAGATAAATATCAATCTAAACAACGAATAAAATTTATCTGCTTTTTAATCTCACTGTTTTAACTTGGTAAGTTATTTGTATTAGAGTTATGTGACCCCAAAGAAATACTTTTTTCCACTTGCTAAACATGAAGATGGCTCATGTCAATGTTTAAAATTTGAATGTGTAGGGAAAACATTTGAGATTTCCTTGAAAATCACCAGTCTTTTGAGAATGAATAGGGGAAAGAGAGGGAGAGATGAATGTTGACTAGATTTCTGGTTGGTGACGACGACTGTATTTTTATGCATTCTTTCACACATACACATGCAGAGATTCATCTTACGTAAATGGGAACATAATCATCATACAAGTCAGTTTCCCTTTTTACCTCTCTCTGACATAAACACTGTTAAAAATCCATGCTTCCTAATCATATAAAAATACATAGGGTTATTCTCTCGCTGTTTTGAAAAGGCAGAATAATTATCCATATAAAGGCATATGCCAAATTTTATATAATTTATCACTTAACAATATAGTTTAGAAATCTCTAAAGGCTATATAATATTCCACAGCAGGGACGTAGCACACCTGGTCACTTATCTAGTGATAAGCTTTGTGTTCAGTTTTGGTTTTCCCCTTACAAAGTTACAAGAAACATCCTTATATCTATGTGTATATATAGGTCTTTACCCAAACGATTATACTAATTCATATTTTCACTGGCAATGTAAGAGATCCATTTTTCTTAACATTTAGATTTTTAACAATATTTCACTTTAGAAAGAGAAAAAAACATTTTTAAGAGGAAGAAATTAAAAGGAAGGTAAGAGAGACAGAAATAAAGACAAGGAAATGTACGAAAGAGACTCCACACAGAGAAAGTGACATGTATACTGAAAAGAAAATGAACTGAGGGATCATGTAAGAGCTGAGTTCAAATTCTGTTCTACTGCATTTTTTTCTTTTTTTTTGCAGTTTTTGGCCGGGGGTGGGTTTGAACCTGCCACCTCCGGCATATGGGGTCAGCGCCCTACTCCTTTGAGCCACAGGTGCTGTCCTATTCTATTGCATTTTAACCTTTCTAAAATAGACTGATTCTAAGCTTAAGTTTTCCTCTTCTCAAAAATAGATTATAGCTATCTCCCAGGGTTGTCAGCAGCATCAAATAAAATAACATTGTTTCCTGGCATAGGAAGTACCCCCAAAATGTCAGTTCCCTTCCTCTTGCCTTTATTAGATGCAGCTTTTGTGTTTCTGCATTTTTCTAATTGGCAAAAAATGAACGTGTCTCTAATGACAGTTTGTTAGGTTTCAACCTAGGTGCTGGTAACCCAAAACTAGGCACTACCTTTAAGATCCCTACAGTTCAGTATTCCTGGAAGGTTCCTTCTTCCTACTTCAGAAGATTAATTCCCAGTTAGATAAACAAGGACGTTGGTCAACATGTACAAAGTTATAGTCAGGTAGTGTCGGGAGCCAAATGACGCCAGATGGCCGCCCATCTCCACCGTCTAGAGTATGCTAACTTTTATCAGATAAGGAGCTGCTTTTCCCTTATCAGACAAGGAGCTGTTCTTCTCAGAGAAGCCATAAAATGTTTCAGACCCTTGTTTACATTCCCAGCAGGAGATTGATGCAAGCTCTACCTCCCGCATTCCTTTGCCCCACCCCTTGTCTTCTCTGAGTACCTTAAAACTGACCTGTTACCCCCATTAAATCAGGCCTTGACAAGAAATCTGCCTGGCCTCTTTCTCTTTCTTGCCTATTCTCTTACAGGCTGGGTCCCCCTCGCCCCACAAATAACCGTGTCCCGCAGGACGGGACAAGGTAGGAGAATAAACTCTGGTGTTCTATTGCACAGTAGGGTAATAATGTTATAGTTAATAATGTTATATTTGTAAATTCCAAAATAACTAAAAAGAGGATTTGGTGTGTTTTCATGACAAAAAAAAAATAAATGTATGAGGCGATGCATATGCTAAATACCCTGACTTGGTCACTACACAAGTTATACATATATCAGGATATCGTATTTTATCCCATAAATACACTCTTTACTCATGAAAGTTCTTCTGATTATTGTCTAAACACCATGTGCAATTATTATGTTAGTTAAAAACTAAAGGCATAACTGATTAGTGTGTTAAGAATGTTTAATAGGACCAGGAGTGATAGCTCATCCTATAATCCCAGCTCTTTAGGAGGGTGAGGTCTAGGAGGATTGCTTGAGGCCAGGAGACAAGACCAGCCTGGACAACATGGTAAGACCGTCTCTACAAAACAAACAAAAATGATTAGCAGGGCATAGTGGCATGTGTCTATAATCACAGTTACTCAGGAGATTGAGGTGGGAGGAAGTGTTCAAAGTTACAGTGAGCTATGATCAGGTCACTACTGCACTTCAGCCTGAGTGACAGAGAGAAACCCTGTCCATATAAAAAAAAAAAAAAAAAAAAGGAAAGGAAAGTTTAATAGAATTCTATTGACTATATTCCCAAACTAGTTCTAGTTCTCCTGGAAGGAAGGGGTTATATTAAAAAGAATAACAAAAAGAATAAAATATAATAATCCAACTTATCTTTTCTTTTTTTTGAGACAGTGTCTCAAGCTGTTGCCCTGGGTAGAGTATCATGGTGTCACAGCTCACAGCAACCTCAAACTTTTGGGTTTAAGCAATCCTTTTGCCTTAGCCTCCCAAGTAGCTGGAACTACAGGCAC